TGATTGCCTAAATTACAGACCCCCTAATCGCATGATTTTCAATGCATATAAATCCATTATCTACACATTGACAAAATTTTATGTGCGCATGCATTGCTTTTATTATTTATGACGTAATATATATATGGGATAACCACGTTTTAAATAGACGTTCTGTTTTTATTTTAAACTGTGTGTATTACTTCAATCGGCTTGCGGGCATCCATTAGTCCTTTTAATATTTTTTACCGTTTGAATACAAAACTAAGGTGTGAGCTTTGGAGATAAACAATTGAACATCGAAGTGCACTTAAGAGTGAAATTTGTTTTGTTTTTCTTTTCGGTGAAGTTCTTGGTGGCCAAGAGTTTAAAGAACTCTGCATTAAATCGTCTTTCCACCTACACAATGTAGAAGCCAGTTCGAAACCTGCCGTAGAGCAGATTTTCATTGTTGGGTTGTCTCGAGTACTCAAGCGGAGTATACACTGTTTAAAATAAATATATATTTTCTATTAATATTTGTATCATATTGATATTTTTCAACAGGTGACAGGTCACTCCGTGAGAGAGTGTTGTATAGCTGTACGCATTGTAAATATTTAATGTTATGTTAATTGGTGTTGGACATGCATCCTTCTAGATGGCATGAGGATTCCTGGACAACATTATTTTTACATAGCGGTGGGGGAGGACGTAACTCGATGTTAATAATATTGAAGTTAGATATGTTAAAATCTTTGTAGAAATTAATAAATCTTAGGTGATTTTAGAATCATTGAGTGATATGTAGCTGTTACTTTTGTTTTTGTTTTAGAGTAAGGTTCACCCTATAGAATGCCCAGGGGCCCATCGAGGTAGAGGGTTACGTTAGGGAGTAGTTTATATGGATAAGAGGTGAAGATAATGGTTGACTCTAGATCTGAACAGATTTAGAGTGTAGTAATCTTTGAAAATTCCTCTTAGTCGTCGGTTCTATAGGGAAGTGGTTCACGGAAAGAATCGGTTTAAAATGAACTTAATTCTCGCCAATGGAATACGTAGGAAACGAGAATGCATTATGATTTCGTAAGTGCCATGGTGTATCCTAGCCCTGATGGTCAGATCTGATGGAACCAGGAGATGCACTTTTCATAGTAGTAGCAATAGGGCAGTGAGCGACTTCCCACGCCCTGCCAGTGAGAGAGAGTTTGAAGTCGGGTAAATATTTTCCCGTTAGTTAAGAGTGTACTTATACTTTTTTTCATCAGGGATTCATTTTTTTTTCTAAATTTCGTTATAAATAATTTTATTCGTTTATCAGCAAGTTGGTTCGGGAAATTGTTTGTGGTCAGGGTTTGTTTAATTTTACTAAGTTCATTATAGTACAAGTGGCCCGAGGAGGATTTTACTTTGTCTCGGAAACATGTTTTTTTTAAAAAAAAAAGAAAAAAAACTATTTTGTCTGTGAGAACATTAACACTTTGTTTAAGGAACACGAGTTTCTTTTACTGCTTTTCGGTTTTTTTTTAAAAGAGTGGTGAGAAAATTGTGGCTATTGGCATCGACTAATACGTCAAGGGAAGTGATTTTATTGTTGACATTTAGTACAGAATAAAAATCTACTACAAAGTTTGTGTCTATATTTCTGAGATGAAGTATGATATACACTATCTACATTATTCGGAATATTGTCCTCATCTTTGTCGCCATATTTATTACAATGTTTCGTCCATTGTACGCTCCTGACTTCTTCAGGTGTTTGGAATGCCGAACTGAACGCTTTATCTAGCTCACTCTGCCATGTGCCCTCAAAGACACATGGTACAGGGAGCATCACGTGGTTCAGGGAGCCTCACGTTTTCTGCCGATTCATCGAAACATTTATATCTGTTCTGTTTTTGTAGACTAACGTAAGGAAATGCATTTTTATTTCATGAAATTGATTAAATCCGACATACATATTGTTTAATTTAAAAAACCCAAAAAGACGAGCATTTGCCCGAATATGAGCATCCATAAAATATAGTTTAAGCAAAACAAATTAAAATATGTCGGATTTAATACTTTTCATAAAATAAGAATATCTTCGTTTACGTTATTTGTACATACAGAACAGAAATGAATGCTTCGAGAATCGGCATAGGGGTGACAGGTTCGAATCATGGTTAAAATCGTTAATAAATGAATATGCATTGTGCGTAAAATAGTCTAATTCTAGGATTAATGATTTCATAAATTACATCCCCCTAATCGCATGATTTTCAATGCATATAAATCCATTATTTACACATTTAGAAAATTTACATACGCATGTGTTACTGTCATTACTTCAGGCGTTATGTATATTGGATACCCACATTTTAAATAAACGTTCTGTTTTTATTTTAAACTGTGTGTATTACTTCAATCGGCCTGCGCACTTGTGAAAATTTGTGTCTATTCCAAGTGCGGGTAGCCATTAATCCTTTTAATATTTTTTTATCGTTTGGATACGAAACTAATGTGTGAACATTCGAGAAAAAAATGGAATGCCGAAGTGTACTTTACTTAAGAGTGAAATTAGGTTCGTTAAATTTGCGAAAGCTCTCCGAGGTCAAGGGATTAAACTATACTGGATCAAATAGTCTTTCCGCCTACAAATATGGAAGCCAGTTCGAAACCTGCCGTAGAGCAGATTTTCAGTGTTGGGTTTTCTGGAGGCGGAGTAAAAACTGTTTAAGATAAATATATATTTTTCTATTATATTTGTCTCATCGTGATATTTTCGAGAGATGACAGGTCAGTCTGCGAGAGAGTGTTATACAGTTGGGCACAATGTAAAATTTAATATTATGTTAATTGGTGTTAAAGATCCATCCTCCTAGAAGACATGAAGATTCCTAGACAACAATATTTTTACATGGCAGGTAGGGGGAGACGTGACTCGGTGTTAATAATATTTAAGTTAGACGCCTTTATCACCTGTGCCATGTATCCTCGAGGACACATGGCACAGTGGATAAAGGCGTCAGTTAGATCCAGTGAGAGGACACAAAGAGTGTGAATTCAATACCAGGTTAAGCCGGTGGAGAACTTGGAGTGTGAATACCTGATAACTGAGATCCATTAGACATTGCACGTGGAACTAGAACAGTCTACTCAAAGTGAGCGAAATAAAGGTTTCAGTTCGACATTTCAAACACCTGAAGAAGGCCGAAGCGTACGACGGCTGAAATGTTGTAATAAATATTTCGACAAAGATGATGACAATTATCAGAATAATATAAGTAGTGTAGGACAGAGTTATTCTCAAAGGTTTCTTTCATATTTTTTTAAAATTTCTTATCAGATGTTTCTTAATATGAATATGTCATGTATATACAGTGCATATCTGGATTGGGGTGCTTGGTAGAAATATCGTAATCTTTATTTTCCACATGCTACATGTAGATACTTACTAGAATCGGCACAATGGTCGAACCCATTGCTACGCCGTCAGTTTGGGTACACAGGTTGCCATAGTAGTCATAAAATGATACTTGCATTGTGCAGGATGGAAGAAGTTTTTGTAGAATAGTTGAATTAATTTTAGTTGATAGGAACGAAGAGTGACTCTATACGTTATGTTTGATAATGTCTTCTATTGGGACGATAGTAAATACGCTTTTTACATCTAGGAAGGTCATATATAACCAACCAACACTCAACAAAATGTAATACTACTATAGCCACAGAATATTAAAGTGCATATAATATATGATGACATATTGCATTTCCACCAGTTTCCGGTCAGCTTCCTTGTATTGAAACGCTTATTTTGCAAAACATTGCATTGCTAAAACGGATAAACATTGTAAAGGAACTGTTGCAGGCCCGGTAGGGTGCAGTGCTGGTTTATTACTAAGTGGCCTTGTGCCAGACACCACACTAAACTACCTAGTCTACAAGCAAAGTAAAAAGATAAAAATGTGCGTGAATGAACAACGAAGAAATGTGGTTAATCCACACGTGCATAAAATAAAATATATTAAGATAGCCGACACAGAATGACAGAACAAAGACTGGATTCCAACAAGAGTAATTTTTATTAAATGCAGGAAAAATAAGTAAATCATCCCGTAGTCGGGATCAATGAAAAAGTTCCGCGCCAAAAGTAGAAAACAAGATGGCTAAAGGCGGGAAGGTTCTTGAAGAAGAAAAGTTCCAGCTAAGTCAATGTACATGATAATATTCATACAAGGAAAAAAATACTCACTGCGAGTTTTTAGGTAATGTGAGTGAATGTTATGTACATATTTCTTTTCTTTTTTTTGTACTGGTTCAAAACAGATTTATGACCAAACCCAAAGTGGACGACGAATTAATATTTTGTATGTTCTGCATCGTCTCGAAAAAGGACTTTGAATGACGAGTCACAAAGGGCCGAAAAGTTAATTCTTTGGTATATGCATCATCTCGTAGAAGGACTTTGAATGACGAGTCACAAAGGGCCGAGGAATTAATATTTTGGATGTTTCGCATCATCTCGGAGAAGGACTTTGAATGACGAGCCAAAAGGGACGAAGAATTAATTATTTGGTATATGCATCGTCTTATAAAAGGATTTTGAATGACGAGCCAAAAGGGGACGCAGAATTAATATTTGGTTTTGGCATCGTAAGATATCCTTCGTCAGTCAACCTTGCATATTGACATGGCTAAAAATGAGTCTGCTTAGGTCTGAGTCTGGATCACCTACTGACTTTTTGAAACAACAGTTTTGTCGTTGACGTCACAAATTTTTCGCGGGAAGATTTCAAAAATCTAATTTGCATAAACAGGAGTAGCAGGTCGTTTGACTGCTGACCAAAACAGTTACTACTGTATTAGACCGAACGAGGGAGAAAGGGGTGTCAAACGCGCGCGCGCGCCCGCGAGTGTGAAAGAAAGGGAGGAAACTCGCGCGCGCGTAAAATGTCGTAGATGGAATAATACATTATTCCACACATCCCTCCTCCTGGATCAAATGTCGCAGACATTTGACTAATAATAGTAGAATGTTTCCAATTTCTTTGAAAGGTGACTTTTCGACCGGAGCTGGTATAATTTAGGCTTGTCGAGAGAAACAGGTGTCTTAAAATTATCCTGAACTTGCGGAGTTGATTGGGAAGTAGTATGAGACGACGGTTTCTCTATAAAGGCAGGTTTCAACCGATCTATTGAAACGTTGTCGGTGTGAACACCTTTTTGTATCTGGAAATATTTGTCCGCGCGTTTAAGAACGCGGTATGGGCCTGTGTAGGCCGGCGTAAGAGGCCGCTTAACAGAGTCGTTACGTACAAATACAAACTCGCAGTCCTTGAGCTGGTGTTGTAAATAGATATCACTCGGGCAGTGCCGCGGTGGTGTATAGCATAAGTTTGCCATTTTAAGGCGTAAGTCCTGAATAAAAGAGGAAGAAACTGGGGGTGTGGTCACAGCTGGTGAAAAATATTGGCCAGGTAAAGATAACGAAGTACCAAATACAAGCTCTGCAGGGGAGCATTTCAAGTCATCCTTAAGAATATTTCTTAACGATAGAAGGATGAGAGGTAATTCATCGACCCAATTATTATTCTCATGCTTCGTTGATAGCGAAGCCTTTAAGGGTGCGATGGAATCGTTCCACCAGCCCATTAGCACAGGGGTGATACGCTGTAGTACGTATATGCTTTGCACCAAGGAGTTCAGTGAATTCCCTGAAAAGACACGACTGGAACTGTGCTCCTCTATCTGTAGTAACCACTTTAGGAGTCCCAAAAATCGAAATCCAGTCGCATAAAAAATAGCTTTTTGCGACAGTCACAGCAGTGGTATCTTTGACAGGGATGGCAGTAGGCCATCGGGAAAAACGATCCACTATAGTTAGAAGGTAGGAATAACCATGGCAGGTTGGTAGGGGCCCAACTAAATCCAGGTGTATATTAGTAAAAACGAGCATCAGGCTCGCTGAAAGTGCCCACAGGAGATTTTGTGTGTCTATGCACCTTACACTTCTGACATTGTAAACATGTATTGACCCATTCGCGAATGTGAGCGTTCATATTCGGCCAAACGAAACGGTCCGAAATTAATTTAACTGTGGCTCTTTTGCTAGGGTGTGAGAGTCCGTGTAGGTGGTCAAAAACCTGTCTACGAAGAGACGGAGGAACATAAGGTCTCGGGGATTTGGATTTTACATCACAGTATAGGACCTTGTTAATAAAGGAGCTGGACATTTCTGAAGTTCCAAAGAAGTGTCGGATAACACCTGCTTCAGAGTTATGTCCGCTTCCTGTTCGTCGGCGATCAAGTCTTGACTGAGTGCCTCAGTATGCACGCCGAACATCTCAGTACGAGATAGGGTATCGGCAACAGTGTTATCCGAACCCTTAATGTACCTAATATCAGTAGTAAATTGAGATATATAGTCCAGATATCTGATCTCCCTCGAAGTGTATTTGTCCGAATTGGTGGACATAATGGACGTTAAAGATTTGTGGTCCGTAAAGATGACGAAGGACCTACCTTCGAGGAGGTGTCTGAAATGCTTAATAGCACGAAAAATAGCCAACAGTTCACGAGAAAAGGTACTGTAGCGTGACTGGGCAGGAGAAAGTTTAGCGGAAAAGAACGCTATAGGTTTACGTTGAGAAGGACTGACTTGTTCAATGACCGCGCCTATTGCTGTTTCGCTAGCGTCAGTGGTCAGGTAGATATCCGATTGAGGGTCGTCCTCTAAGAAACTGAGCTTAGAAAAAATTGCCTAGAGCGGTTTTAGCTGCTCGAAAGGCGTCCAAGGCTTCGTTCTCAAGTATAATAGTCTTATTCTTCTTCTGTAATAAGTTGGTAAGGGAGTCAGAATGTTAGAACAGTTTGGAATAAACCTCCTGTAGAAGTTGATCATCCCTATAAAGCGTCTCAACTGTTTAATAGAAACAGGGACGGAAACTCAGTGATAGCTTTAATCTTTTCAGTTATAGGGGCAATTCCATTTGCATCGACATGATGTCCTAAAAATTCTATATGGTCTGATCCGAAAACACATTTGTCCAGGTTTAGACGGAATCCGTAATGAGACAAACGTTGAAGAACTTCGTGTAGGTGTTGCTTATGCGAGGCAGCGTCCTCGCTAGCTATCAGAATGTCGTCAATGTAATCGAAAAACAAAAGGGAGTCCACGCAGAACCTCGTCCATAAGACGCTGAAAGGTCTGTGCTGCGTTGCAAAAGGCCGAAAGGCATTTTCAAAAATTCAAATAAACCGAAAGGTGTAGTAACAGCAGTTTTAGGGACATCAGCAGCAGCTACTGGCACCTGATAATATGCTTTTGCGAGATCTATTTTAGTAAAAATCTTTGCGCCTTGTAAACCAGAAGCGAAATCGTGGAGGTGGGGGATTGATAACGATCCCGGACGGTGATGGAATTCAATCTTCTATAATCCACACAAATTTATAGTCCTCCTTTCCTGGTTTAGGTACCAAAATGAAGAGGGAAGCGTAGGGACTGTCGGACGGACGAATAACACCCTCTCGTAGCATGTCGTCGAAAGCTTTCTTTGCGAATTTTAATTTGTTAGGTGCTAGACGACGAGGACGGGAAAAAACAGGTTGACCAGTGGTCTTAATAAAGTGCTGTGTTTGATGTTTAGTTGAATCAATAGATCCAGCAGGACACATGAGGTCCTGGTACTGATTCAATAAATCTAAGTACTCTTTATTGTGGCACGTTGCCACGGTGATGCCAGTGGTGGTAAGTTTAGAATAAGTGCCAAGAACACACAGTCTTGTTAAGTAGTCAGTCAGGGAATGGTTGTTCATTCGCACGGCGAGATCATAGTGCGCCAGGAAATCGGCACCTAATATCGGCATCTGAACGTCAGCAACAGTAAAATTCCAGGTAAAGTCTCGTCGCATCCCTATGTTTAGGGTAAGGGACTTCGTAACGTAAGTATTAATACTGGAACCGTTTGCTGCTTGTAGGCGGAGCTGGAAAGGTTGTTGACGAGCTTTATCACGCACGGGTAAGACACTAATGGCAGCGCCGGTGTCAACCAAAAAACGTAAATTATTACGTGTATCCGTCACATAGAAGAGGCGACTAAGTTTTGGTGAAAATGCCTTGCCAGCGAGATTAGTCGCTTTCACTCGCTGGCGGTTTTGTTTTCCCGCGACCGCAGTATAGGAACACGGCTTGGTGCAGTAGTGTGCTGCAGACCCAAATCGTCGGTGGTAGTAACACATAGTAGAAGTGGCATCCTTGTTCCGACTGGACGAGCGAGGTCGACTTCAGCGCCGGCGGAGGGGAACCGGCTTCGACCATGGCTTTTAGAGCCAATGTTAAATCTCTCACTTGGCGCTGCAAATCCTCCACTGTTTTTCCAGGACCTGTGGTCCCTAGTCGCTTCAGCACTGTGTACTGGCGTTGTCTGATTATCCAGTTGCGAGAAAATACGATCAGCGGCGTCCGCTAATTGATCGATCGGGGTGTTTTCGGACATGGGCGCCAAAATTTGTGTAATGGTGGTGGGGAGACGGTCCAGCCATGCTTTTTCAATATAGAGTCAGCCATGGTATTTTTTGCCGAGTCGGCTTTTCATATAACGAAGGAGTTGGGAGGAGTCCTGCCATCGCAAGTTAGGTTGCTAAATAGTTCCCGGATTAATGATTCCTCCGTACGGCCCATTCTCCGTAAGATCGCTTCTTTTAACCGGGCGTAGGGCTCTACTTCAGGAACGGCTTCTAGGAAGTCTGCTACTTCGTCGACAATGGTGGGTGGCAAAACCGCCACCACGTAGCCAAACTTTGTTTTCTGGTCTGTAATCCTTCTGACTGTAAAGATAGATTCCATTTGTAGGAACCACTTTTTTATATTCCCTTCATGAAATGGGGGAAAAGGAGTGACGGCGGCGGTCATGTTCGCCAACTCTTCAGAGTCATTAGACGTCATTCTGGCTATCGAATTTATGCACGTTTATATTTCAGCTTGCTCAGAATTATGTTGGCAAGGTTGCAAAATTATTGCGTGTTCAATTCCCGTCTCGGGTCACCAAACTTGTTGCAGGCCCGGTAGGGTGCAGTACTGGTTTATTACTAAGTGGCATTGTGCCAGACACCACACTAAACTACCGAGTCTACAAGCAAAGTAAAAAGATAAAAATGTGCGTGAATGAACAACGAAGAAATGTGGTTAATCCACACGTGCATAAAATAAAATATATTAAGATAGCCGACACAGAATGACAGAACAAAGACTGGATTCCAACAAGAGTAATTTTTATTAAATGCAGGAAAAATAAGTAAATCATCCCGTAGTCGGGATCAATGAAAAAGTTCCGCGCCAAAAGTAGAAAACAAGATGGCTAAAGGCGGGAAGGTTCTTGAAGAAGAAAAGTTCCAGCTAAGTCAATGTACATGATAATATTCATACAAGGAAAAAAAATACTCACTGCGAGTTTTTAGGTAATGTGAGTGAATGTTATGTACATATTTCTTTTTTTTGTACTGGTTCAAAACAGATTTATGACCAAATCCAAAGTGGACGACGAATTAATATTTTGTATGTTCTGCATCGTCTCGGAAAAGGACTTTGAATGACGAGTCACAAAGGGCCGAAAAGTTAATTCTTTGGTATATGCATCATCTCGTAGAAGGACTTTGAATGACGAGTCACAAAGGGCCGAGGAATTAATATTTTGGATGTTTCGCATCATCTCGGAGAAGGACTTTGAATGACGAGCCAAAAGGGACGAAGAATTAATTATTTGGTATATGCATCGTCTTATAAAAGGATTTTGAATGACGAGCCAAAAGGGGACGCAGAATTAATATTTGGTGTTGGCATCGTAAGATATCCTTCGTCAGTCAACCTTCCATATTGACATGGCTAAAAATGAGTCTGCTTAGGTCTGAGTCTGGATCACCTACTGACTTTTTTGAAACAACAGTTTTGTCGTTGACGTCACAAATTTTTTCGCGGGAAGATTTCAAAATCTAATTTGCATAAACAGGAGTAGCAGGTCGTTTGACTGCTGACCAAAACAGTTACTACTGTATTAGACCGAACGAGGGAGAAAGGGGTGTCAAACGCGCGCGCGCACCCGCGAGTGTGAAAGAAAGGGAGGAAACTCGCGCGCGCGTAAAATGTCGTAGATGGAATAATACATTATTCCACAGAACTACATCAATGCGTTTCTTCGTGTTTTTAAAAGCCACTGTCACAAAGCAATGATGATTTTATCGCAGTTACAATAAGTGTGTCTTTGATATTACTTCTTGAAGATGATCTTAAATTATCGAAAGTACTTGGGTTAAAAAGAAAACTACGGCAGCTTAATTAATGAATGACATCTTAACGTCAAGAAACTGTTTAGATAACTGTAAAGGAGTAGTCTAAAAATAAGCAGACGCAATATGCCTGTATTTTTCAAGCCTTCAATTTTGGATGATGATACGCTGCCTAAATGCACAAGCACATATCCTTCATATATATATATATATATATATATATATATATATATATATATATATATGTACATACATATATATATATATACATACATATATATATATTTTTATATATACACATACATATATATATATACATATATATACATATATATATATACATATATATATACATATATATATAATTACACATATATATATATATATACACATATATATACACACACACACATATATATATATATATATATATATATATATATATATATATATATATATATATATATTCATGTTTCATTAAAAACGACACAGTACTACGATTGAGCTTTTTTATTTAACACTTCCGCGGCTAACTACGGAGATGTTCGTTTTTCTTATCTTGCTCCAGCTGGCTAAGTACGGAAACCTACGTTTTTTGCATACCCGCTGGCATGAGTGTCCCGTTGCGCCATCTATCGTAAAATACAGGAAATTCTAACTGTTCTATCATGCAAATTATTAGTCAGCCTCGATTTTTCTCTACGTCATAGTAGTTTCGTATCTAATTTGAAAATATTCCTGACGAAAATGCGACTAGCATGCTGATGATCCCATCGCCCGTGACCGTATGTCCAAGCGCACCTAAAATTGATCCTGCCAATCGCCTCGTTGGTGGAATGAAAGCTCCTGACTTGGTAGAAATTCCACCAACCAATAAGAAAAGGTACCCTTCTAAGTCATGCAGAGTCGGCAAAAAAGCTGGAAAACGCTCAGAAACAAGGTATTTCTGCAAAAAAGTGTGAAGTCCCACACCACAAAGGACAATGCTTCAAAAGATACCATGTGTATACTCATTACTGATGCGGTAAGTCATTCCCAGGTATATCCATGAAAATGTAAGGCTGTAAAACACACTGGTGCCAGTTTTCTGTGTAATAAAATATGTAGGTTGAAATTTGTCATTTTCTTTCAAAATGGCTGACCGGATGGGGGCAGCACTGGGGAAATGAGTAGCAGTGAAAGTGTTAATTTTTCTTGTGTTCGAACAAGTGCTTTCTTTTTTAAACACAGAATGTTTTGAGACTGTCGAAATGTTCTATAATTCCGAGCGCTTTCGTCTATACTCTTCATTGTTTCATTGTGTGCTTGCGTTTTGTGTATGTCTTTAGTGTTATACAGATGTTTTATTTTTCGAACACAGCACATTGTAGCCGTGTCCGTAGTTAATATTGTTAGGCGTTGGCTTTTTTCTTTTTTAGTTATTAGGGATTCCATTATTTTTAATCTTTTTTTTACAGGTGGATGAGATTATTATGTTTGTGTTTTCTACTGGTATGTTTCGGATGGAATCTGGTAAGTGTGTGTGTTTCAATGGGTTCTAATAAAGCCATTGTCAGATAGGTGTAACGCAAGGCGTCTGGATAGGCATGTACACGTGCGACCGATATAATTATTTATTATTATTTATGATAAATAATTACAACGATCACATGACTTCATACTTATTCAGACGACATAAGTTACACCTATCTGACAATAGTTCTATTAGAATCCATTTAAATACACAGACAAACTTAAATAATTACATCGGTTTTTGATAATGGCTAGAAGTATAGCCTAAAATCGTTCGGAATTATGAAACATTTGGACAGTCTGTACACAGTCTGTTTCCAAAAATGAAAGCATTTCTTCAAACAGAAGAACAATTAATTGTAGTACCTTGTCTGTCGATTTTAGCGAAATTTGCATAATGAAGGATTGCTGCCTAAATACACAATAGACGTACATACATACATACATTATTTTAAGACATTTCTGTGAAGTATAATTCTCTAATATTCAGGCCGGTAAATGTTGTTTAATACTGTTTATTATAAACAGAGCATTTACTTAAATAATTGTATCTATAAAAAAAACATATATATTGTTCTATAAAAAAATAATGTTTAAACAGAAAAAAAATATACATATATATATAAAGGCATTTCACCCCAAGAAAAGCGGGAGTGCCACTAGCACTCAAGGGGTTGCAGAGAGTGAGAGCAAGAGGTGCGTTTAAGGAAAGGATAAAGAAGGATGTGAATGAAGGTCAAGGCGTCAGAAGATGTCGATTGGCATTACATTAGACTATTTGAATATTATAGCTATAAGGAAAGCAATTGGAATGGAGCTCCACTCTCGTTAAGTGCGAGAGAAAAAGCTGCTTGATTAAAACAGACGGTTACATTTAAATTTTTCGACAGTGAAAGAGTGGAAACGAGGGCCGACCTTGTAGCACGCTTAATTTCATGCAGTTGGGGAACCAGGGAATATAGAAGCTATGAAAATATTTGTAGAAATTACAGAGGGAATCCACATCACGTCTGTGAGAAAGAGACTGTAGTTTATATATATATATATATATATATATATATATATATATATATATATATATATATATATATATATACGTGTGTTTGTGTGTGTACATATATATGTATATATATATATATATATATATATATATATATATAGAGAGAGAGAGAGAGGGAGAGGGTTAGATAGATAGATAGATAGATAGATAGATAGATAATATTAGTGGTCAATATATATACACACACACACACACACACACACATATATATATATATATATATATATATATATATATATATATATATATATATATAAATTTTCAATAGGATAGAATCGAGGGAGAACTCAATATCCAGGACGGAGTAAGGATATAATAAAATGGCTGAAACACTAATATTTCATGGTTATAATCATTTATTACATTGGAATCGTAATCACGATCCAATTTATCAGATCTACAAATGGAATATTAATGTTTGAACCTTACACACACACACACACACACATATATATATATATATATATATATATATATATATATATATATATATATATATGAATGTACAGACCATCGTCAACTTAGGGCCTATGCGACTCTCATCTCTTCGAATTTAGAAACACAGGTGCGAATTGATATACATGGTCGTTTGGTCACAACTGCTCCCGTCAAAGCATGACTATTTCTCTAGTTAGCATACGA